TTGATGCGATCATATTAAGTACTGTTATAACTCATTGTTCAAGCATAATATATTTGATTGAATTTATATATACTTTTATATTTCATAAATCATCCAAAATATACATAACAAGTCTTACAAAACATCAATCCAAGTCTTAAACTAACATCACAAGTGCTGCTAAGCCTAATTCATCTTGAACAAGTATTTCATACCAAGAAGCTTAGATTCTTAAGTTCAAATTTTTTGCCTTCACCTTGAGGATTTCTGAGTTGGTGAAGTCTTCAGAAGTACCAGCTTGCCTGATCTGCTTCTTCTGTTCAACACTCCTATGAGCCAAGATTGATATTATCAAGTCCTCGTTGGTGCCCCACCCTGAGAAAAAAAAAATGAATCCAAGAATCAGATTTACAATATTCAAAAGTTGGATCCAAGAATCTAGAATTCTATATCAACAAAAATGGATCAAAGCGATTCACGAATATAATAGTCTAAAGATATGAGTTCTGAATTACAAATAACTACATTATTATTGATCCAGATTAAGAAGATAGATCTGCGACTATGAGAATCAGACAATCAAACCAAGATCCCGTACATCAATCATAGTGAATAAACATGTTCAGTCAATCAACAGATCAGTTCTAATCAGAGAAAGAAGAATAAAAACACCATTAGTACAATCAAATCTTCTAGATCCAATAAATAAACAAGATATGTGATACAACATGGATCCGACCATCAAAAAACCGAACTCGATCCACATTAAAACCATTAACAAATTGAACTAACAATTAGAGATCAAATAAAACCTTAAGTGGACTGATAAGCAAATAGTGATCGGGTTACACACATAGAGATGAAGAAAGAAAGACGCAGAGTTAGTAGTACCTTCGAAGGCGGTTCGCAATTGATCAGCGTCTTCAAGAGGAGAAGGAACAGAAGAAGAAACCTTGAGAGTCGCCATTTTTGTTTGGTGTTTTCGACAACAAGATTCATGGTCAAACCCAAAAAGAGTTCAAGCAACCATTCCGTTTGCATTAAACTTAAATGCATTTCAACTACCAATTGATCAATCTCAAGACATAAAACAAGGTTATAAACTGATTAACTTGATTAATTATTTGATAATGAAATCAGAATGAAATACAAATCCAAGAAGAAAGGCTTTAATAACCTGAAACAAGTTATCGTTCTTGAGGTCATTTTTATGGGAACAAAAGATTCTCTAAGTCTCACTCCTGAAAATATCTCAGCAAGTCTTTCTTCATGGCCTCAAAAACCTTTGTAGGAGTTTCTGCGCGCAGGGCCGCTCAAGTCACTGATTTTCCTACAAAGAATTCAAATATAGAAAAGAGTAATAAACATTATTGGTTATGAGTTCGAAAAGGATCCCACCAGCAGAGTTGGTGTACTTATAAGACTGTTAACTTTTTAAGAGGAGCAATGGCAAATGTACTTGGGATTTCTCCACTCAAGTAGTTTGAACTAAGAAGCCTACAAAGAGAGAACATAGTCTCAACATTAGTAGAGACCAATTCTAAAAATGAACATTTTCAGATAAGTGGACAAAGATTCTTACATTCTTTGAATGTTTGGTAGATTCCCCAGATCTAGAGGTAATTTTCCTGAAATCTGACTATATTCTACCACATCAAAAACCAAACGTTCCAGAAATAAAATCTGAGTCAACTAATTACCAGAGTACGAATTCACTGTAATATTT